TAAATAGAAATATCAATCTATAAAAAAATTAAGTGCAGAGTGGTCAGATGATCATGAGTCTAATTTAACGAATAAAACATATATTGTAGATACTATAATGACACAGAAAGTCTTTGACATCATCATTAAATAGTTCTGATGAGTCTTTTAATCAACCTTAAATGTTTGATTAATTGTTTTTACGCCTTTTTTAATCGGTTCATGATAAATACTTATTTATTGTGGCTTTATTAATTTTTTTTTAAAAATTTGAATTCTGTTAATATTTTTTTATGAAATCCATTTAGCTATGCCTCCAAAGTAAAAGATGGTGAACGTACTTAAAGAAATAATAAAAAAGAAGCATCAGATATGATCTTTTACGAATGAGACTGATATTATAGTTGGTACAAATATTGCTCAAAACAAAGCAATTAATAATTTGAATATTCCTACCAACACAACTATAAAAAACCCAAGGAATAAAAAAAACCAAGGACTTAAATCCTACACTTTAACCAAAGAAAACACAAGTTAGGCAAATAATTATTGATAGTAATAGTGATAAAAGTGAATCAGATTTAAGTGATGAGTAGAGTGAGTATATTATTGTTGATTATGAATTAAAACCAATGATTGACATTTTGTATTTTTAGATATTCTGAAAACTTTGGAAATAAATGCTTATGACACTGTTAATACTTTATATAATAAAAATAAAATTGAAGAGAATGATCGGGAAGAAAGAGAACTGGGTATTTATTATTTCATGTACTGATCTTACTATGCCATACGAATATTGAGACTGTGGATAATGATAAATAATAATTTTAATTTTAATAGATGATGAGAGTGACTTCTGGAAACATAACTTATAACTAAAACATCCAACATGATTTCAAAAGATGTCTAACAAGTTTGAAATCACCCTGTGAGTGGCTCATCATCAAAGAATTTTGAATTTGGCAATAGATATTTGAAATTCAATGGTGGTTAGTGTGCCAATAAATGGAGAAGAACCTGAAACACTCCAAATTCCCATTTCTACATCATATCCAATATCTAACTTATCGGAAATTAGTCAGGTAATATAATATATAGTAATAAAAAGTTTTATTATATAAAATTTATACTAACTAAATATTTTGGATTTAGCATACTAAATTTCAATTACAGAATGAGTGTAAGGCTCTTTTTCTTTGAACAAGAAATAATACAACAGCATTATATGAGGAATTAATTGTAAATGTATGCAAGATTATTAAAGCAGACTCTCGAATAGAATCATTACTTAAAAATGTTGGTAGATGGTATGATACATACTGCTATAAACTCCATGCAAGTGTTGTAAAATTTGCTAATGAGTTCAAATCAATACATGAATAGTAAGTATTGTGATTTATTAAAATTTAACAATATACAAATAATATTTAAATAATTATAAATATAGGGAAGAAGAAATATCTGATGATGAATTAAATGAATTTATTAATAAGGATATATGATGGCAATTACTTCATTTGCATCTAAAGGCAACTGGTCAATAAATTTTAAGAAAAATCCTGTAATTACTGAAAAACTTGGTACTTTTGTATGTCAGGTTGTTAAAGCTATTATAATTACTCAATCAAACCAAACAAATACACGAATTGCAGTTAAGGGTTGTGATGAGTATACTATTGATTTAGCAATTCTAATAAAACTTGGAGTGATAAAGTTATTACCGGTTTGAGAATTATTGACTTATTAGTTAATATTTAAATAATGTTTATTACTAACAATATTTTAATAAAATTTTTATAAGTATAATGTTTTAACCAATTAAATTTAAGTTTTTATATTATGAAAACTTTTCATGTTATAATTGTATTATGAGTCATGAAACTGAAGGCCCTACCATAACAATATACTAATTATTTTACATGATAATACTGTGACATAATAGAAATATTTCTGTATCACATGCATTACAGTTTTTTGTGTCATCCTATTATAAATATATTATAATAATAATATTTTTAAAATTATATATGAAAACAAATATTATAATAACCTGATAGTAAGATTATAAATATAAATTAATAATATATAATATTATAATAAGATTTTAATTAATATTTATAAGTCAATATAGAATTTAGTATATGTTAACAATA